CGCCTCACATATGTGTGAACATTGGATGCTGAACAAGGAAGATTGGAAGGGAATCGCTACATTTGAATGACGGTGTTGGCAAAGCATACCGAATGTGCCATGGGCTGCTAGAACAAACGATCTGTCTCGGAAGAAGCACAACCAGAAGGCTCCTTAGAAGTCACATCCGAGGAGCCCTCATTTTATCAGGAGAGACGAGTCCCTGGAGAAGGACCTCATGTTTGGAAAAGTAGAGGGGCAGTGAAAAAGAGGAAGACCCTCAAAAAGATGGACTGACAGAGGGGCTGCAACAAGGGCTCAAACCCTGGCACTGTTCTGGGGGTGGTACAGCGCCAGTCGGTGTTTCATACTGCTGTACAAAGGATTGCTAGGAATTGCAATGGACTTCACAGCACTAACAACAACAATCTTTGGGGTGGCAGCTTATTGTAAAATGCTTGTGTCACCCAGGCTCCTTAACATCAATCTATTTCTGAAAGGTTTAGAATTGTACACGTGTTAGTGCTAGTAAAGATTTCTGGATCATTTTGTCCAGAGATATTTCAAACCAACATCCCTAAAAGAGACAACCTCCGAGGTATCCCCATAGAACGGCAGAGCTTTTCCGAACGTAGTAGGAAAATCAAGAACTCTCTTGTTCCAGTAAAAGAAAGAAAGAAACCCAGGCTCCGAGACGCTGTGTTGCTTGTTGAGGGGTAAACAGTTATACTTGGTGGTCATGTCCTGTGATTCACTCTCATATGAATTTAACATGGACATGCCATGCTATTCTTGTGGAAGAGCAAGCAAGGAGAAAAGTGATACATGGTCTTTGGAGTATCAATTCTCTCATTCTGTCACTCGTTAGTTGCAATGCAGTTATCCAAGAGAAGGCAAAACATGAAATCGGATGGACAGTGTTCCAGTTAGGGACTGCCCTGGGGAACAGCCTGTTGGGTCACGAACTTATAGGGCATTATCTCATTCAGCTCACCTTTCAACTGGTGGTTCTCAACTCTGGTCGCACATTAGAACCACCTGGAAACTTTAAAAAAAATACTGCTCCCTGGGCCTCCCCACAGACAAAATTAATCAGGCCCTCTGGGGTGGACTGGAAAGGACAGGGTATTCTGTCCTTGTGGAGCCCCGTTGAGATGTGCGTGGACTGAGCTCATTGCCTCAGAGGAGCTGCCAGTCTGAGCAGCAAATTGGGCCTTGTCAAAAGAGGAAGAAGCACTAGAGGGGAAAACCATTCCCCCTACCTCCTTGGTCTGGGGCCAAACTCACGGAAACCATGGAAGGAAAAACGATGGAAACCCACCCACGCATGCGTTTCATAAGATTATGCATGGTTAAAACACTTTGAACATTGTCCGGTAGGTCATGATGGTACATACACGTAATTGTACCTAATGAATGGCAAAGAAAAAAGATAGATCTAGTAGACAGAGAAACATACATTAGACTAAGTGTTCAAGAGAAGCAATGGAGGTAGATGGCTAATAGAATGAACGATTCAGCAGAGAAAATAAGGAAATTCTAATCATACTGTACTTCAGATAACTTTTACTAGGTAGAATTCTGATTGTACTGTACTTTGGGATAACTTTTGTCAAAGTCATTTTGTTGTTGATTTTTATACAGCCACATGTTTCCCAACTGAACTCCCCAATGAAGCTTCGTTTAGACTACCAACATGTGCCAAACTGTGTTCTGGGGAACAGCTTTCCTGAGATATGTATGAGAACAAGAGGGCATGGTGAGTAAATAACTTTGGATGCTGTGTGAGATAATCCCTTGGGAATTCCAGTGGCAGCACCCTAAGAGTTTGGTGAATCCTGGGAGGGGAGGGAGGCTCGTTGAATTTAAACATCCAGCACTTCTTGAATGTGTTTGATCACAGAGCTCTTTTTCCCTCTGTTGATGTGTTAGAGCTTAAATTCTCAGGACCAGCTTTGCGGAAGGTTACAGCTTACATTTGGAGCCTGAAGTTCATTTAGAGTTTCTACATAAGTGGCGCTTCCATTTAATTCTTTCTGACCATTGACCCCCAAACTTCAATTCACTGCCACCAAGTCGATTCTGACTCCGAGCAACCCTAGAAGGCAGAGCAGCACTGCCCTTTTGGTGTCTGAGGCGGAAAAGCTTTATAGCAGCAGAAAGCCTGGTCTGCCTCCTGTGGCGATGCTTCTGGGCTCCAGGGGCCGGATTTTGAGGGTAGCTGCCGAATATGCAATGCAGGCTCCGCCATTGGGCAGCCGAGTAAAAATCTTTGCCTGCAGGCAGAGTGTACTTGTTGCAACTCCCCTGGCTAGACCAGAGAGCAGCAGCCTGGCTCTCAGGAACTTGAGTAGACGTACCCTTGATGGGAATCTGCTGTAGCCGACGGCCTCTTTAAAGTGTTGAAAAAATAAGGATGTTACTCGGAGGACTAAGTTGAGCCTGACCCAAGCAGTGGCACTTTCAATGGCCTCGTGGGCATGCAAAAAAATTGAATAAGTAAGAATGAAGAAGAATTGATATATTTTAATGACGGTGCCATTGAAGAATATTAAAAGTAGCGTGCATTCCAAATGAACACACAAATCTGTCCTGAAAGAAGTCCAACCAGAATGCTCCACTTCGTCTCATGTACTTCGGACATGTTATCAGGAGAGACCAGTCCCTGCAGAAGGACGCCTTGCTTGGTAGAGAGGCAGTGAAAAAAGAGGAAGACTCTCAACAAGATTGATGGACACAGTGGCTGCAGCAATGAGCTCAACTAGAACGACAATTGTGGTGATGACAGAACTGGGCAGGGTGTCATCCTGTTGTACATCGGGTCTCTATGAGTCAGAACGGACTCTTCGGCACCTAACAACGACAGGGTCACATGGGTAGGAGTCAGAGCCCAACCACTTTGATCGTAGAGCGCTGAACTAATGCTGTATACTTTTCCAATGTAACCCTATTGTCTCTTTCCCACTTCTGTAACGCTGCCTGTGACTGTGATGAACTGACCAACCACCACATGATTTTGTGACAGTGTCCTTGGTGCTCCATGTCCTAGTTCAGTAGCTTTGTGGGTGGGAACCCTTTGGACACCATTGTGGCCTCAGGTTGGTGGTCTCTGTCATCAGAATGACTCATTTTTGTCTTGGTCTTGTTTAAGACCCAACCAATGGGTTCCTGTAAAATATATTTGAATTTAGGCTCTCTTTTTCCTAGAATACTATGTCTTAACATTCAATGAAACTACTGTCCAATGGAACAAGCACTAAGAAATGCCAGCTTGGACTAATATTAAAATTCCCTTGATACCAGAGCAAGGACTAAGGGCTGTGGGAGAAAGGTGTGATAAAGGAAAGGGCTTGCCATTATTTTTCAGACTGGGATTTACATTTTTCCTAATATAATTGACAAAGCTAGATGCCACACAGATCACTGAGCCCCTAACAGGCACTGTTCTTCAAAGCATGTGCAGGGTCTGTGGAAGGGGATGGGGTAGCCCTTCACCAAGATTATAGGGTAAGGCTGCTGCTGCTGTTGCTATGACCCCTCTGCTGGGGAAGAGCTGGAGACTGCTAAGTCTCTAGACTTGTAAGCATATTTACCATCTGGCATTCACCAACCACTTCTTGAATTTACTTCCTATTCTCTGGAAGAGAAGAGACGGCAAGAAAAACATTCTAAGTGAAGAGGCCCCTTTGGGGAACCAGAGGCTAGGCCCAGGAATGGGAGGTGGGGGGAGGGAGGGAAGATGAAGAAGAGGGGATTTCTTGGAGACATTCACCATGGGTATGAGGAACAGAGTCAACCACAGAAGAGGGTCACCAGAAGCACCAGAAGAGAGATTTCGGTACAGATGAACAGGACTGAGGCGCATGTAGAAGAAGCAGCACTGATTTCCAAGGTCGGTGAACAGATAGGAGCTTCCTGGGGGGTAGGAGTTGAATTCAATGCATCTTTATAGTTCTTTTCTTGAAGATAAAGGTGGTGGCTGTGAGGAAGAGGAATTGTGTTTGTTCTAGAAGGTGTCAGGGAGTCCATGAAATAGTCCTGATAAGGAAGAGGTGCTGAAAATTACCTAATCCACCTCCTGCCCTGGAATCCCCTTAGTGACCAAATAGGTAGGACAGAGTAGGACTGCCCCATATGGTTTCCAAGACTGTAATCTTTATGGACACTAACTCCACATCTTTCTCCCATGGAGTGGCTGTTGGGTTTGAACGTAAGACCTTTTAGTTGGCAGCTAAGTGCTTAACCACTGTGCACTTGCAGTCTATTTACATTGGCCGATATATGTGTGGCCGTCCAAGTTAACAGTCATCAGTTGCTTGGTGCCTGAAGGACAGAATGCCTTCTCTCCCTGTTTTGCTTCACCTGCCCCAGTGGGCTCCTGCCTGGCAGAAAGCCATCTAAGACGATCTGGTGCAAAGAGACCTGGAGTCTTGGACCAGGGAAACGAAGTCTGCCGGCCTGCTGAGCTGTCTGCAGATGGCCAAGAGGTCTTCCAGGACTGAAGGAGGCTGGTCTGTCCCTTCATTCACCCATTTATTTACAAATGGCTTTTGCCTTTTTTTCACTGGGACCTTCTGGGCATCTGTAACAAAGTCCCATAAATTGGGAAACTTAAACAGCAGAAATGTATTTTTGCACAGTTCTGAGGTCAAGAGTCTGAATTGAGGGTCCCGGCATGCTTTCTCCAAAGTCTAAGAAGACTGTTTTCTCGTTTGTTTTTGGTAGTCCTCGGTGTTTCTTGCTTTGTGGCAATACAATTCCATTCTGCCTCCATCATCCAGGAACTTCTGGAAGGAAATGGTTCCTTCTCCAGGTGAAACTGCGAGGGATGAGTCTCAGGAGGCCACTTGTTAAACAGGAGATTTACCTGGCCGCCTGCAGAGGGGGCGGTGGCAGGTGGGGAAGGTGGCCTCAGGCCTGCGAGAGCTAGGGGCGGAGCAGGAAGCCGGGCTGCTAGGCGCGGGAGGCGGAGCCTGGGGAGCGCCGCAGGTGGGGATCCAGGTGGGGATGAGCCCGGCTCACCTGCGCGGGACCCAGCAGGAGCCTGCAGCCGCGCTGTGCGCCATGAGCAGAAAACAGGGCTTTTTTTCCCGAGACGCAGGGCGTCCGAAGTGGCAGAAGATGACGCTTCTGAAGTGAAAGGGGCCTGAGGAGGGCTGCTATGGGTTCTGAGCTGCCGGTGCCTTGGCTGCTCCTCCTCACCTGGCTCCCAGCAGGTGAGCCGTGGGAAAGGGGGGGCTGGGGGGGGGCACCCTGGGCTCAGTGAGACAGGAAGTCACAGGCACCTGGTCTTGCAGCGGTGGCCACCGGCAGCGCAATGGAGGGCTAGGCCGCGCTCCCGTGGCAGTGGCGGTAGCGGTGGCGCTTGGCACCAGCGCCCGAGGGAGGTGCGGGGGACTGGATCGAGTTTCTGCGTGGGGGAACCTGTTGTTTTCCTCTTTTGTTACTCCGGGCCCTTCCGTAACAGGTGCAACTTAGAAAGCCCCAGAACGTCTGAACTGGTCCCGCATTCGCAGCCTCTTAACACGGAATGAACTGAAAGAAGACAGGAAAAACCATTCTTGAAATCCCTGGTTACTTTTCCCTTTTCATCTTTTACTTGCTTTTAGATAAAAGTTGGCCCAGAAAATGCATTTATTTTCTCCTGGCAAATTATCACATGGTTCTAACATATAAACCTGGGGATCAGGTTAACATGTCCATTCGGGTTCAGTCTGCCCAAGGGTGGACATGCAAATTCTCAGCAACCAGGCCAACCAGAATGAACCAGATTGAAGCCCTGCTTTCAAGGGTAGCCCACCTGGAAAGGTTCATTTTCGGAATTAGGGAGTGCTGGGACTGACTGAAAAGGTTAAGCTTTCTCTGCCATGTCCTAGATGAGAAATTGAGATTTCATTGATTTTTGACCCCAATACTTTGAAGGAGAAATAGCGATGTTAGTAGATGTTGTCCATGAAATGTAACCACAGTTGTTCCGCTGTTTAATGATTAGATTTGGCGTCTGTGATGGCTGAGACTCTGGGAAAGTTACTTAAATGCTCAAAGCCTCCAGTGAGCGAGGCTAAGAGTACATAGGAGTATGTGGAAAGTTTTAATGAGCATAGGACAGCGTACCCAGGGATGTACCTCAGACGGCTGCATGGAAACTTTTAGGACCCCAGCACCGCTCACCTGAGTAGGATGTTGAATGTTGTCTTTATGAACTGTGTTGTACCAGTATATCCAGACAGTGGGTACACTGGCTTCCCAAGCCCAGTGGCTCATTCTCTCAAGGGGTTTGGTTATGTCTAAGAAGTAGTCTTAACTTTACCTCCTGTCTGCCACATTCATGGGTATATATTGGCAGCATGAATAGGTATCCATTTACAAATATCCCCAAATTGCTGTATTCCTAGGGAGACTCCCATTCTCCCTTTCACACTGGTTGGATCTACATGTCTACCTAGCTATCTACTCACGGCTCAGCACTATGGAGGACTGTGTATACTGCACAATTTGCCTCTGGTGCCTCTCACTCACGCAAACCGCACATTGCCTTGCGCGGTTTCCATCCCCCTCTCAGTGAGTAGTGCCTTCCCCTTTACTCAAGTCAGCACCTGTTCATCTCGTCTGTGACTTCTCCTTTCCTCCCACTCCTGGTTACCATCAAAGTCTCTTTCTCTTCGTGTGAAAATCTTTTCTTGCTGAGTCAACCTTGTCCTAGCTCTGACCTTGAGCAAATTACTTGAACTCCTCTGAACTATAAAACAGTGAAATGTCTGACCACGTCCCTCCCCCCATTCTGCACCCAGAAGTGATTTCATTTGTTGTATGAATTAAAGTCAAGAAATATCTAGCTGTGTCTGTAAGAAATATCTAGCAGTCCCCACCCAGGAAATACTGGGTCCCTCCCCATGACCCCACCTCCTTCTTTCTTTTGAAACTAATCTTTCAAAAGGTCTGGCAGACCAAGTTGAAGACTAAATATCCTCTCTTGATCCTAGCATCTACCAACGCCGTAACTTTCAAACTTTTTTTCATAGCTCACCATAAGAAATAGTTTACATGGTGCCTCAGCATACACACACACACACACACATACACACACATAGATTCAGTCAGACATAGCCTTGATGTAGTGTCAATCCATTTCCCATCTCTCTTTTCTCTTTGACCCACATGCCGAATAAAATTTGTTATCTCCTCACTGAAAAAGAGAGTCATGAAAATCTTGTCACTGTCTAATAAAGTAATATCAAATTTTATATCAAAGTTGATACAATTTCAGTAATATTTAAATTCATAGAATATATTCCCAAAGCTCGATCCTTGGGTGGCACAAACCATTTGTGTTCATCTCCCAGCTTAAGTACTGGTGGCTCAGATGCGCCTAGAAGCTCCTCAGAAGAAAGACGTGGTGATCCAATCTGTTCCTATAAACATTATAGACAAGACCCTCCCCCCATACCCACCACCACCCCCGCAGCACCCCCATGGAGCAGTCTCCTCTGCTCTGTAACCCATGGGGTCACCAGGAATCAGAATTGACTAAGCCACAACACGTTTATTTTGGGTTGGTTACCAGGGGATTTTTTTGTTTCTTTGTGATGGTAGCTTGTGTTTCTTTGATTATGGTTTTCAATCCCCAAGTTAATGATATTAAATAGAAAATCTCTCTGTCTCTCTCTCTCTCTCATTGGTCTCAAAACCCACTTCAAACTGTGATATGCAGTTTGGAAAGCCTATTCTAGAATGGTCGTTTTGGTCCATGACCTTGTTCTCTTTGGTTTCCAAACAAGAGCCAAACCAGTCCTCTGATTAGCACCTAAGACCTCAGAGTGGAGAAGGTCAGGTTGCTGTGTCTGGTCTAGGCCCTTGCTCATCAGTGTGGCTTGGGTCTCTGGGGGTCCTCTGAGGTCATGGCATCCTTTGAAGTTTTTGTTTGCTCAGCTCTGTAGAGAACTATTTGTAACTCTCTTAAGTGTTTTCATTTGAAAAGAAATAGAGTTTTAGTATACTCCTGTTCCATGAACACTTGCTCATTGAGAAAAGGCCAGAGTTCAACGTGTCTCTAGACAGGGAAACCTGTGAAAGCAGAACTTAATGGCATTGCCCCTGTTTCCTGCAGGTCTCACAAGTATCTAATCTTGCAGTCTTACCCATTTTTGTCACTCATTTCAGTGGAAAGTGAGTTTTCCTTCTCTCACAGATTTCTGCCTTATACAGGATCTGACTCTCACAGATTTTACTATACAAGTATCTACAATCCTTTCACCTTATTAGTTAATAGTTCTAACTGCTCTCATCCAACCTCAAGTTTATTCTTGGAATAGAAGTTTAACTCTTGCTGCCCCCTCAGTTCTGTAAGGGTGTGTGTCCTTGTGCATTTGTGATTTTTTTTTAAGGTCATAGAGTGGTGGTAGCTTCTAGTTCCACACAACTATGGTGTGGTATACTTCTTCTTTGGGAAATCAGACAGCAGGCCACTAAAGGAAAAGGTTCATAGAAAACCTATACCATAGGTTCCCAAACTCATTTGGTCTACTCTCCCCTTTTTAGAAAAAGAAAAAAAAAATTACTCAGCACCCCCCTATCGATGAAAACCTTTTATACTGCAGCCTATTATCCAGGATAAAGTATAGGTATCTGCTTTTGCAGATCCCCTGGATGGTTCCAGTGCCCCCCACCTGCACCCCAGGGGATGGCATCACCCAGTTTGAGAAACAGTGACGTAGACCCATCGTTTTCTTTAGGTGTGTGCGGATGTGCAGAGAGTTGGGGCTGGAGATGTGGCGATCACCCTGAAGACTCGATTACATTTTGTCAAAGTTGTTGATAAGTGGAGTATCTCAAGATGAAGGGGGTATGGATGGTGGGTGGGAGACAGCCCACTTGGCTTCTTCCTTGCCCCTGTGTGTTTCTTGAAGTACTTCCTCAGAATCCTCATGCCTCACTGGACTCAGACAGAGGTCAGTTCTGACTTCGGCTCTCTCTTCCTGGACAGCTTTACAAAAAAGGAAACCTGGGCCCAGGGAACTCAAGCAATTTAGGCTGGCATAATGAAGTTCGTTTGAGAGCTGGGACCAAAACCCTGTTGCTTTCCCCTCCCGGTCTACTGTTCTGTTCCCTATTTTTGTACATGGAGCATGCTTGTTTTGCTTAGTGTAGTCTGGTATGCAGAAATAAAAATAGTTGCCTCCTGGGTGTCTAACTAAATGCTAATTAAGAAGCACCTCACCCAACAACAATGAAGGGGAATGTGATGTCGGGTGATTAGTGAATAGTATACCTGGCTCTCTTTCAGCATAATAATTTATCTCATTGTTGGAAGTCCTCGAGGGAGAATAAAATTATCTGCTTTAAGAATTGGGAAGACAGAGCTTGTCTTGTCTTTCCCCAGTGTTTATTTGTGGATCTCCCAATCTGCAAGTCTGGTCAGGTGGGGTCAGAGAAAAGCAGCTTGGACACTTTCAATCCCCATCCCTGGTTAGTCACTGGATTCTGTTGCTTTTTCCCAGGATCAGCCCCTTCTTTTTTATTCCAGATGTGGAATGTGCAGCAGCCTCCATAAAGCATTTTAACCATCTCCTTGCCTCCAGGCCAGTCTCTTCTCTGTCTGCCTCCAACAATGCTCTACAATAGGCTAACCTGCCTATGTAAACTTTCCACCTTCTCTCTAATCCTCCATCCAGGAACCACCGCTAACTCCCAATGACTTCTAAGATAGACCAAAGCCTTTGTTTAGAATTCAAGGCTCACAAATTCTGCTGATTCTGACCTCATCAATTGGACAAACTTGTCCCTGATGATATGGACCATGGTCTTATTGCAACCCTCTCCCCTCATACATACCTCTCCTCTTCCTTGCTTTTTGTCTACTACATTAACATTACTTTCACATTTATTTTCTGGATTTTTAGAGCACTTTTCATTTGTCGCAAGCAGTTAATCCTTTTTTGCATGGCTTTATTTGTTCTTTGACTGTGCAAATATTGCATACTATGTGCAAGTCTTTGTGCTGACAAACAAAGTAGACCTTGCTCTGGGCCTCGTGGCTTATGGTTTAGAAGGGAGTTGAGCTCTTCTGGCCCTTGGTGCTCTGGGAGCTGCAGATTTTGGTGCAGACATGGCCAGGTCCAAGAACCACACCACACACACCAATCCCAGAAATGGCACAGAAATGGCATAAAATAAAACCCTGATCACAATGATACAAATCTCTTAAGGGGGTGGGCTC